TGATGGGTCCACCTCTAATGGTGCCCGATTAGAGATGGACCCACCTCTGCTAGAATCCTGTTGGAGATGGACCCACCTCTAATGGAATCCGATTAGCGATGGATCCACCTCGAAAAGAGTCCAATTGGAGATGGCCACACCCAACATAATTCGATGAGACATAGATCCGCCTCTAACCGAATCCGAGTAATGGATCCACTTCGCATAAGATCCAATTAGAGATGGGACCACCTCTGAGAGAAAAAGAAGGGAGAGACAGAGAGGGAGAGACAGAGAGAGAGAGAGAGAGAGAGAGGGCAAGGAAGTAGCCAAGGGAAACATCAATAGAAAGTCAAGAAAAAACGACAAAAGAAAAAGTTCGGGAACCTTATGAAGTGAAGACGGCCCTCCTGGTGCCGATGGCATGTTAGCGGGCCGCCGACCGCCCTTGCGGGGGGGAACGTATGGGGCGAAGCCACAGGGGGAAACCTATCGAGGGGAACTTATGGGGAAACTTATTGGGGAAATCTATGGGCGGCAAACCTCTGGGGCAAGCGTGCGTGTGTGTGTGCATGTGTGTGTGTGCGTGGGGTGTGTGTGTGTGTGTGGGTGTGGTGGGTGGGGGGTGGGGTGGGGGTGGGGTGGGGGTGGGGGGGGGGGGGGGGGGGGGGTGGGGGGCGGGGGGGGGGGGGGGGGGGGGGTGGGTGGGTGGGCGGGGGGGGGGGGGGGGGCGGGGGGGGAGGGGGGGGGGGGGGGGGGGGGGGGCAACGGGGGAAACGTGCGATGAGAAACCTTTTGGGCGGGGGGAGAAGGATCGGAAACATATCGGGAACATCAGGGGGGGGGGGGGGGGGGAATCGGGGGAAACCTGTCGGGGAGAACCTCTGGGGGGAAGAGTTTGGGGGTGAGCCATTCCTCGAATATTCCTCCCCCATCATCCTGTAGGACCCCATCGCATACTGCTCGTTGTCTTTCTCCACCGCGCCGTCGCCCGACCGCGCGCCCTCCAAATCGCATGATGCGCAACGCTCTGGGGCGCGCGCGCCCATGGCCACGGGCGAAGATAACAGAAGATGTGAACTAACATCTTGTAAGAACGCAACCATGTATAACTTAGATGCGAACTGGTCATAGAACATCATCATCTACTATACAACATATCCTAACTAGGGGCGTAACTCCACGACGCTGTCTGAGATGATAACCCAAGATGATATAATGTATGTTGGGCTCGCTTCTGTCTACAAACGATGCGCCTTGATGTGAGATGTTGCGAGGAGGTGCGAGGTGATGTGAGATGTTGCGAGGTGATGCCAGACGCTTAGAACTATAGATGAATGAAGATCCATCTCCCACTATCATCTCACAACATCAGACAATGGCGCCGCCCATCTCGGTGGGTCCGCACCCGGCGGGGCCCGGCCTGCAGGGGCATCGACCGGGGGGGCGTCCGAGGGGGGCAAGGAGGGCGCCCACGACGGAGGCGCCCATGGCGACGACGAGGTCCACGAGCCCGACGGCGGCGACGAAGCACCAGCCCGACGGCGGCGACGGCCACGGCGCCCACGACGCAGGCGCCAAAGGTCGACGAGGAGGCACAGCCCCACCAGTCCAAGGACGCTGGCGAAGAAGGCGCCGACGATCCCGGGATCGCCGCTCCGGGCTGCGCCGCATCTCGGCCGAGATGCGGCGTGGCCCGGAGCGCCGCGAGATTGGCTCGCCCCCCTGCAGGCCAAATCCGCGCCCTGCAGGGCTTGCGCCCCCCAGCGCCCCTGTATGGCTTATGGGAGTGGGGACGTAGGAGGGGAGAGGCAGGGGAGTAGGGCCTCCTCATACTCCTCTCCTGAAGGCCGTTATCTTCGGGCCGCCCCCACCCGAGCTTGCCCCGCGGGGTTTCCTCGTTCGCGCCGACTGAATTGTCTCGCGAAGCTTCCCCATTCGCACCGGCTGAGTCGCGCCGCGGTGCTGGATCGTCCCGCGGGGCAAAGCCAGACCCGTAGGTCGCACCGGCAGGCTTGCTCCCGCACCAGCCCATGCCGAGAGGATGGTCCTTCGAGTCCTTGATGGTCCTCTCCGTCTTCCTCGGTGGGCCCTCCTGCTCCTCCACGATGACCGGGAGGGGGGGGGGGAAGAGGAAGGAACGAGGGAGATTATGAGGTCTTTTGTCGGGCGCTCCCTGGCGCGCCCTGCGCCCACCACCGCAGGCGGCGGGCTGGGGCGCTCGGGGCCGCGCGTGCGCTCTGTGCCCCCCTCCACGTCGGACCCGCGCTCTCTCTTGGGGCTCTCCCTCCAGAGCCATTCCCGCGGGGCTGGCTCTCCCCGCGGGGCCGTTCCCGTCGGGCTAGCTCGAGGGCCATTCCACTGTGCTGGCTCCCTCCCGGGGTCATTCCCGTCGGGCTGGCTCTCCCCCCCGGGGCCATGCCCGCGTGTCGCGCGGCTTGCGCCTCCCGGACCGACGTGAGGATGTAGGCCACCGCGTGCTGGATCAGGGTCTCGCCCCCGCTCGCAGCTTTCTCCTCCTCAGCATCCCTCCTCCTCTCCGCCAAAAAATGGCTGCGGGTGGGCGGGCGCTCTGGGTCGATCTCCGACGCCCGCCAGCCCGTCTCCATTGCCATCTCCTGGATAGTGTGGGGGCTCGTCGACGGCTCCCTCCCCCCCTACAGGCGGCGTCCCCCTTCCCTTCCCCGGGCTGTGCCAAGGGGGGAAGTCCCGGTTCGTGGTCTACCCCTCGCTCCGGCGAAACTCGGCCCCCCCTCCTCCTTCCAGGCCGGGCGTTCCTCGCGGAGGCGGAGGCGGGCCAGGGCCTGCTCCAGAATGTCCTGCGCCCGCGGGGGGGCCCTCCCCTTGGTTTGGGCTGGGATGGCCCCTCCCCCGCACATCGCACTTCTGCCCTGCCCTCTTCCCCGGCGGGGCCCGGGGGCAGGGGTCCCCCCGGCGGCGGGGGAAAAGGGCGACCCCGGGCGGGGGGTGCCTCCCCCCCCCCGCCCTCTGGTCGGGCTGAAGTGGGTTGACAACGAAGCTCTGGGTGCCTCCGTCGTCCTCGTCTCCCACGAGGTACGCTGGCGCGGGATGCCCTTCCCCCCCTGCCCCTCATGGGCCCCGACCACGGTCCTCAGGAAAGGACCACCCCGTGGCGGGCTTCATCACATCTCCCGCCGCTGGGCGGTTTGACGGTCCGGCCTCGGGGGTCAAGCCCACTGGCGTGGCGAGATACGCCCAGGCGGCGAACGCCGCGGCCTGTGGAACAGCGAAACCCCCCCCAGGAAAACATCGCAGCCTGGGGGGGGGGGTCGAGTGGGATTATAGGAGGCGCGTCCCCATTCGCAAAAAGTGAAAACCCCGCAGCGCGCGCTGAAGCCAACGGCTGCAGGATTGAGGGAAAGGAAGGAGAGCACACGACAACAAACCGGATTCAGCTGTTAGATGGGGCCCCGCATAACAGAGACATCATACATAATACTTCAATCATCATATCAAAACTGTTCACTCGGACGTCAACATGTATATCTATAAGCCTCGATACCCGTACTCTTCATTTTCAATCGTACGGCATATTTTCCTCACCTGCTTCCTGTAGTTGGCGCAGCCCCTAAAACAGGGGAAGGACGAGAACGGACGGGACAAGCAGGAGGGAGAAGGATGAAGCACGAGAGAGATTAGCAGGAGAAGGGTTAATAACTGGAGAACAAGCGGCTGAACCAGACGGGCGCGCCTGGCGGGCGGGCCAAGACGGGCGGGCGGATCACTGAAGCGTCAGTCCTGCATGAATCGCGAGGACGTCTCGAGAAATAGCACGAATCCCAAGTAAATCGTGAGGAAGTCTTTGGCGAGAGTATGATTCCTGAGTGTCGAGGGCGCGTCATCTCAATGAATTGTGAGAAGTCCAAAGCGAGAGCGCGAGTCCTGCATCAATTATGAAGTCCCGTGCGAGAGCACGATGTTGAACATATTTGCGGGAAAATACAAGGCGGGGGCGGTTGTTGCTGCAGTTCGACAGCTCACAGCGCATCCAGAGGCTCAAGACTGGATGCGAACTCTGGGAGGAGCAATTCAATTGGTTAAACGATTTGCACCGGAGGGGGTGATCAACAACAATCACTTCAGACATGGAGTTTCCAAAAGGCTGTCGCCTACTACGTTCTCACAGTTTATTGAAGAATCCCGCTCCCGCTCGAGACGCCCTTGTAACTTACCAGCGAACGACGCTCTCGCCTTGGACTTCGTTTCGTTGTACTCAGATGCCGCGCCCTCGCACTCGGGACTCGCACTCTCACTCTGGACTTCTGCACGACTTACCTGTAAGTCGCGCTGTCGCGAGAAACATCCTCGCGATTCATGCGGGACTCACGCTGGAACGACCCACCGCCCGATCCGCCCGTCTGGGTCCGCCCGCCCGACGCCCCTTGCCTGGTTCCCTTATACTTGCTGTTGTAAACAGGGGGCCAAGATCACAGTCTGAGGCGCAACGCTGCCCCTTGCCAGGACCGAGGTGCGAGCCCTGGCAGGGGCACTTCAATGGACAAGACACAATCTGCCCTGGAGGGGGGGGGATCAACAATAAGTCACTCCAGATTTCGTACTAAAAGGGAGGGGGTCTCAACCCTCCCAGACGAGAAGTTTTCGACCCCCCCCGTGGGAAAACCTTCCAAAACATCGTCCCCAGACCCCCCCAGGCCCTCCGAGATAGCCTGGAAGAGACCCCCCCCCGAAATGAGACCCCCCTCCTTTTATTACGAAATCTGGAGTACACCTTGCGAAATGCTTAAGAAATCATGGGTTAAGAAATTCATAGTCTCAGAACTTGAATAAAAACCAAAAACCTTTCTATTCAAACCTTAGGATTTACCTTGAAACATTAAGAATAATCGAGACTCTGGCCGAAAATTTAAGTTTTCTTAAGCATCGCCTAAGGTGTATACCTTCCGAAGGCTACCGACCCCCCCTCCGTGCCGCTGGCCCCCCCTCCGGGCACGAGCCCAGGGGGCTCTCTGAGTCTGCCCGCCCCCTATCCCCGAGCTCGCCTTCCTCGGGCCGCCGCGGGCCGCCGCGCTCCAGGAAGCGCCGCGTCGCCGCGTCCAGCCACCTGGCGAGGTGCAGCAGCGCAGCGCGGGATCCGTCCACAGGGGGGAATGGGATCTCGCCGCCCCGCCTCGAAGAAACGTCGCCCTCGCTCCTGCATCCCCTGCTCCCTCTCTCTATCCCCCTCTCCGCCTTTCAGTTCTTCCACTCCTGGGGCCTTCATGGGAACTCTTCAAAACGCCTCGGGACCTTCGAGAACCCCAACAGCCCGTTGAAGTCTCCCTGAACACAACGAAATCCACAATAACCTCCCAAGAAAACAGATAGGCCTCAACAAACACATCCCTCCCCAGAACCCTCCTTACCCCTCCTGGTTCCCGACTGCTTGCCCCTTGTCCCTACTCCGTATTCCCTCCCTCTCTTCATCCCTCCCCCCCCCCTCCCCTCCCGTCCGTTCTTTCTCCCTCCTCCCCTGCCATCATCCATCCGTCCCATTCATCCTCCCTCCCCTCTTGCGCCTTCCTCCACGTTCCCTCCACTCTTCCCTCCCCGCTCCAATCTCCGTCGTCTCTCCAACTCCTTCTCTCCCTACCTCTCTCTCTCGCTCTCTCCCTCTCTCTCGCTCTCTCTCCCTCTGCCTGCCTGCCTGCCTGCCTGCCTGCCTGCCTGCCTGCCTGCCTGCCTGCCTGCCTGCCTGCCTGCCTGCCTGCCTGCCTGTGTGTCCATCCGTCTGTCTGCCTGCCTGCCTGCCTGTGTGCCCGTCTGTCTGTCTGCCTGTATGCCTGTGTGCCTGTCTGTCTCTGTCTATCCAAGCGCCCAAACCCATTCCTCGTCGCCACTGCCGGGTGCGGCTCGGGAAACCAACGCGCCTTCCGTGGGAGCCGAATGGCGGAGGACGTGCATGTGGATCCGATGCGCGATGAGAGTGACATGGCCGTCGAGGAGCCAGCGAGCCGACGCCCGCGCCGAGCGGCAGTCTGGGCAGTGGCCGTCCAACCGCAGTCAACAGCACGGCCCGCCACCTGCCAACGCGCGGACTCGTGCTCGGCGCTAGCGAGCACCGCTTGTGCCCGTGGGGCGCTCGCACAAGGTGCGCGGCGGGAGTGCGCAAACTGCTTGGCGGGGTCCCTTCCGCCAGATGCGGAGGTCAACAAGAGGAAGAGGAGAGGAGGAGGAGGAGGAGGAAAAAGAGGAGGAAAAAGAGGAGGAGGAGGAGGAGGAGGAGGAGGAGGAAGAGGAGGAAAAAGAGGAGGAGGAAGAGGAGGAGAGGAGGAGGAGGAGGAAGAGGAGGAAAAAGAGGAGGAGGAAGAGGAGGAAAAAGAGGAGGAAGAGGAGGAGAGGAGGAGGAGGAGGAGGAGGAGGAGGAGGAGGAGGAGGAGGAAAAGGAGGAGGAGGCCGCGGACGCAGTCCAGACGCGTGTGCAGGCGGCCCCGGCGGCGGCCTCGGCGCGGGAGCTGCAGCCGGAGAGGGCGCCGGCCGCCCCTGGCCAGCACGCCGGCCTCGAGGCTGGCGCGACGACCTTTGCGTGCAGGTCCTGGAGAGTGTCCAGGGAGCCCCTCCTCCTCCTCCTCCTCCTCCTCCTCCTCCTGCTCCTGCTCCTCCTCCTCCTCCTCCTCCTCCTCCTCCTCCTCCTCCTCCTCCTCCTCCTCCCCCTCCCCCCGTGAGGTCCTCAAGCTGGCGCGCGGGTCTTCGGGGGCCGAGCGAGGACGGAGGGCGGTCCTCCTCACGGGCGTGCGCCCGCTGCCCAAAAGTCGTCAGGCGCCGCTGCCTGTGTGGGGAGCTGCTCTCTTAGAAAGGCTCGCGTGGTTCTGGGGCGGGCAGTGGGCTGCCCTCTGGGCTTCCGCTCGGGCAGGCGGAGCAATCCCGAGGAGAAGCCTCGGGCAGGCCGACAAATACAGCGACCGGCACGGGCTCGCACTCCCGCCGCTTCTGGGGAATAGGGGGAGGAGCGCTGACGGCAGCCACCAGCGCGAAGCTCGCCCCGCGAACGCCTGAGACCGTACGAAAGGACCTTGAGTGTTTCCCCGTGGACGCTGCCGCGCCGGCCGCGCCGGCCGCGCCGGCCGCCCGCGAGGCCCAGGAATATGAGCTGTTAGAGGCGGTACAGGAGGAGATAGATAGGGCATCTCCTGCGGAGACCAGCCCGGCTCACGGCACCAGGTCTGCTGGGGACGAGGCTGAGACACTTGGAGACAGCAGCCGCCAGCAAGGAGACGCCGCAGCTCCTCTCAGAGGCGGTCTCCTGGGTGAACGTTGGCCTTCTTCCTGCAGGGGCGCTGCAGGCCCTGCGGGTCGGCGAGGTCATCGCCCTCGAGAAAGGGGAGGACGAAGTCCGGCCTCTGCTGGTGAGCTCGGCCTGGCGGCGGCTCGGCCTGCGGGCGTTGGTCCGGGTGCGAAAGGAGCAGCTGACGACAGCTGCTGGCGAGCACCAGGACGGCGTGGGGAAGCAGAAGGGCGCGGACCTGGTACTGCGATGTCTCGAGGCACAGGCGGAGGCCCGACCCACAGCCGTCTTCCGGAAGCCAGACCTGAAGGCGGCCTTCCAAAGAGTGAGACGCCAACCTGCCACCGCAGCGACGGCGAGGCACGACCCCGCTGTGGCCGCCGCCCTGTCTACCTGGCACGGGGGCCCGGTGGACCACTACACGAGGGACGCTGGCGGGGCGCCGCGCAAGGTCCCAAGCAGCAGCGGTCTCGGCCCAGGTGACCCTCTCTCCCCCGTGGCCTTCTCGGTGGCGCCCCTCGCGAGACTCCTGCCGACTTCTGGGCGCCACTCCAGAGGCTGGGCCCTGCTGCCATGCTCTGCTCCTGCCTCGACGGCGCGTGCCTCGCGGTCGAGAGGCCGGCCTCTCTCTCTCCGAGCGCGCCCTATCGCTGCACTGGAGACAACCCACGGGGGACCCCTGCGGCCTGGCACGCCACCGCGCGGAGACGGCGGTGTGTGCCCGGCCGGGATCGCGGCAGTGCCGCCGGCGCTGCAGCCCCGCTGCGCGACCCGTCTCCCAGTGTGCAGCAAAACCTCGAGCCGCGGGGAGACGCAGAGGATCTGGACACCCCAAAATGGGTGCCGAAAGCACGGGTACAATGCCCAACAACAGATGTTGTCCCAGAGCCAACAGCGGCCGATGTTGGGCAGGCGGCCTTCTGTCTCGAATGGACACAGGCCGCGGCGGCGCGGACAGCGAGTCCTGTTCAGAATGAACAGGAACTGCTGTTGGGCATCGTACCCATTCTTTCCGTACCCATTTCGGGCGTCCAGAGAGGACAACCCCGCAGCCCTCGGGGCGCGCGCCGACAGCCTCGACAAGGCGGCTCTGCGGCTGCAGCAGCTCTGGGACACGCTCTGCCAGCTCCACCAGGTGGACCTGGAGAAGCAGGCTGCCGCGGTCTTGCTGCAAACCTACGCCGGCCCCGCCAGCCAGCACGCCCTGCGGCAGGAGCTGAGACGGTGCTGCGGCGCGACGTTGGCAACGGCGCCCTGGAGCTGCTGGGCCTCGGGGCGCAGCTGGCCTGCTCGCTGCGAAACGCCGCCTTCCTCGCTTCCTGGTCTGGCGCGGCCGCGGAGGTCGCGAGAGACCTGGGTTGCGGCTCGCTGCGCGACGCCCTCGGGCGCCTGCCAGCTGCCGCAGACTGGAGGAAGCGAGACAGGGCCTGGCCCGGCAGGGGCTGCTGCTGGCGGACGGCGGGACGCTGGCTGACCTCTTGGCTCACGAGCTCAAGCAGGGCTTGGCTATGGAGAAGGTGCAAAAGACACACCATGCTGCGCTCCTGCAGCGTTTGCCCGTTCTCCAACAAGCCACTCTGCGAGGGCAAGCGGGGCCCCCCAGCGCGGCAGCCTTCCTGGGCTACCCCGCCGAGGCGCTCTGCGCGCTTGAGGACACGCACTGGCAGACGGCAGCTCGCCTACGACTGCATCTTCAGCGGCCGGAGTGCGACTGGGGGCAGCTCGCGGCGGCGACGGCCCAGTGCTGCCTGCGCAGCGCCAGCGGCGAGGTCTGCGGGCGGCCACTGGACGACCTCGGCTCCACAGCGCCACCTGCCAGAATGGGGGCGGGGTGGTGCGCAGGCACGGCAGACTGGCCCGGCGGCTCGGCGGGCTGCCCCAGCGCTGGAGGCACGAGGAGCCGCTCTACGAACAGCGCGCCCCGCTCTGGGACAGGCCGCGGCCAGGCCACGCTGGGGAGACGGAGCGCGCCGTGACTTGGAGTGCCAGGACGAGGATGGCCGCCGCTGGCTCGACGTGTCTGTGCGACACCCCGGTGCGGGCACCCCAGAGGAGCAGCGGGTCGCGGCCCGCCGCGACGGCGAGGTGAGCCGGCGCGGGGAGCGGGACAAGCACGCTCGCTACCCTGGAGAGCGCCTCATCCCTTTCGTCCTCGAGGCGGGGGGGCGACTTGGCGCTGAAGCGCGCCTCTGGCTGAAAGCCGAGGTGCGCCGCCTGCCCGACGCCGGGGCAGGCCCGCGAGCTCGCGCGCGCCCACCGCACGCTCGCTTTCGGCTTGCAAGGGGAGCTGGCGCGGCAGACGCACGCTGCCGCGGGCCGGCGCTGAGACGCCGGCAGCGCGCCGCGGCGCTTGGAGCGCCAGCCGCGCGCCGCGGCGAGCCCGCGCTGGCCCGCTTGAGACGGCCAGCGACAGCGGAACAGCGACGGCCGCTGCGGGCCAGCGAGCGGACGCGGGCCGCGAGCCGGGGCCCGACGCGGGCGCGGCCCTCCGGGCCGCGCAGGGGCCGCCGGCGGCTGGGGCGGCGCTGCGGCCGCGGCCGGCGCTGCGGCCGCGGCCGGCGCGGGGCGGCGCCTCCGCCCTCTCCTCCTGCGGCCCCTCCCGCCTCCTGGGCGCTCGGCGGCGCGCGCCGGCCACTTTTCTCGTGGCTGGGGGGGGCGCCCCAGCGACGTGGGAGCCCGAGAGAGAGAGTCTGTCTGTCTGTCTGCCTGCCTGCCTGCCTGCCCGTTTGTCTGTCCCCTTCTCTCTCTCTCTCCCTCTATGTGTTATTTCTCTCGTTCCCCCTCTCTCTCTCTCTCGCTCTCTCTCTCTCTCTCTCACTCTCTCACTCTCTTTCTCCTTCCTGGGAACACACGCGCAGGCATGCATGCTCCCAGTCCCGCGCATGCAGACGCAACCACACACACACACACACAAGCGCGCGCACACCACAAGCACGTGCCCTCACACGTTCAGGCCTATGTGCACCACGCGCGCACGCTTCATCATAACGCATACATAGACCTGCATTCGCACATCGCAAGCGCACGCCGGCCTGTGGACACCGCGAGACTGTTGTCCGCCACCACGCGTGCGCGATGTTGGAATATCACTGCGCGCGGTGGTTGCCTGGAGCGTTCCTGTAGTTGTCCCATCCCTCCCACCACCAAGCATCCTTCAAAAACAGTTGCCGCATGTTCTTGCTACCCTGTGCCCAGTTGGGCCTTTAGGAACAGACCCCTCCCAAGAAAGGCTGCACGGCGCCCTTCTGAGGCGATACAAACATGGACCAACGAGCCCCCGATGGCTCAACGATCTCCCGAACATGCCCCGAGACACCTTCACGAGACGTCCGAAGATGCCTCCAGCGAACAAATTAGACATGAAACGCCAGTGAGGCCATGATCAACCAATGATTGCTGCTTCCAATGCTGCTCGGCTTGCCATCGTCTCCAAGAACCGCCAATGGGCCTGGAAGAAAGCCCGTACTATAACTCCACAAATGCCCAATAGACGGGCCCACGAAGGCTCGAGCACCCCCAAGACGACCAAAGACTGCCCCAGGGGGCCTCCAAGACACGCCCAGGCGTCCCCGAGATGGTTGAGCCGAGCCTCTTCAGGAGAACTCGATAGAATCATCGCGCGTAAGACTGCCCCGGAGACACCCGACGGGCCTCCAACGGGCCCCATATAAGCCCTCGAGAGGCCTCGAACTGTCGGCGCTGACGACCACCGCAGAAGCACCCGACGTACGAAAATGCTGAACGGAATCTGACGCCAATTGAGCAGGACAACTTTCACCCCCAAACCCCACATCGGACCAAAGTGGGCTGGATTCGACATGCATGACGAAGCCGCATTGTTGCTGATATCACTGGCTTGCCAGCGTTGCATCATCTTCATTATGGTTGGCGAGGAACTGCGGTGAGTCCGAAGAGATGGGGCGCAGCTCTTCACATGCAAGGCTAAAAGGGAAGCGCGAACAGAGAACATTACCCAACACCGCTAGTTATATACCCACTGGCAAAACGCAGGACACGCAAGTAGCGGAACGAAACGTAGTAGGCACAGCGAAAACCAACTTGCGGCGGCAGCCCCCCTTTCAGTCCGGGAACATCGCCGCTGCTTCCCCCGACGAAGAAACTTCGGCCCACGCTCGCACGAGAACCATCCCCCTGGTCGGAAGGCACATTCGCTGAGTTCTGCTGCGTCCACCGCAGCCGCGCTGAGCTGGGCGGCCCGCCGGGATGACGAGCCGAATATCGTCATTCCATCGTTCTTCGTCGCCGCACCGCCCCCGACCGCGATGGGTGCGGCGCCCCGCCGCCACGTGCCACAGGACCACCGCCCAGCCGCTGGCACCCTTCGTGCCTCGACAGAAGCGGGCACGCGTTTGATCGTCTTCGTCTGGCGGGCAGGCTGCGTTCTACCGGGCAGCCGAGCGCGCGCTTGCCGCGGATCGCAGCGCGGGCGGAGGGCGCAGCACAGAGCATGTGATGCGAGAGAAGGTCACTTGTGTTTTCGCCTGGGTCCGCCGCCCCTGACAAAGTGGCGCCGACGAAACGCCCAGGACGCCCCCAGGATGAAAGAAGAGTGTCTGAGACCTGCGCCAGCGCAACCAGGGTGCTGCACTGGAGCGGGTCTTCAACCCAACCTCGTTCCCACTGCGCTGCTGCGCTGGCGCTTGGGCAGGGGTTGCCGCAGGCAGCTGGGAATACGACCTGCCCACTGCACACACGCAAAGGACCCGTGCAAGCACCAGGCCTGCACGTTACGCACCAGCTTGTGCACACCACAGGGCCTGTCCGCTCAGACGGTCTCCGCTGCGGCGCCGTGCGCGGCATCGGGAGCGGTGTCCGAGCGCCTGGGACGGTGGCTCTGCAAAGGGGATCGGGCTTGCACGAAGGTGCGCAGTTCGCGTAGGAGCGTCCGCGCGGACCGGAAGGCCCGGTACATCGGGTGGCCTGAGCAAGGCAGAGGATGTTTGTTTGATGATGGCCCGCTCGAAGAAAGCGGGTGGGCTGTCCTGCTGCGGGCTGGGTGCACTGCGCTTCAGAACACTGGCTCAGCGCATGCTCTACTCACACAACAAGCGGATGGTGGTGCAGGGTTCAGAGAAAATCCACTTTAGCGATCAACTTGTTCAAAAGGGCGGAGGAATATGACCACGAGATGCGGACGAGCCCGCCTGGGCAAGCCGTGCCGAAAAACTTCCCCAGGCTGGCGATACGCCACCCGATCCAGAAAAAAAACTGCGGGCTCACGCTGAGAATACAGTCGGCGAATTTAGCATCCAGCGCATGAGAAAGGTTCGCTTGCTCGCTCTCCATTGCTGTCAGGGAAGGACCCTGTCACCGATGTGCACACGTCACGCTTCTGCGCGATATGGTGGTCAGACCATAACTGCCCACGCACTTCCAGGACAGCTTCTATGCGAGCGCATGCAACATACTTCGTCCACTTCGACAATCAAGATACCAAGAACTGCTTCATCATGCTGCTGGGCTGCATTATTCGTGCCAAGCCGCACGTTTGAACAGATACGGAGATGACAATCGCTACCATGCACACTGTGCAATCAGCAACTTAATAAGTTCATCTCTCTCCTGTAAGCCTACGAACACGAAGTGATGATCAAGATGGTGCTTGGTCCTTCCACCATGGTTTTCGGCGACTGTGCTAAGATTCCGATACTTGGGGACACGATGTTGCACTCACCACTCTGACAACGCAGCCTGATACCACACGAGCATATTTGTCTACAGAAAATGGGGTCGGTCATATTTTGTGCTGGCCCTGGAGATCATGCTGGCCGCAGTGGTATCCACGAAAGCCTTGTTGTTCCGGTTGGCTGAACATAGTCACGAACTGACCATCTTGCCGATCATTGTAATCTTGAACTAGTGGCAAATACACAGACGTCCTAGTGCATGGCTTGACCTGTGGGTCAATAGTTACTGGGCTCACAAATACGTCTTCGCGTCTCCAAGAGCGGATCGATCGAAGTATTTACCGTGCAGCTTCATGGAGCGTTGGGCAAGCAAAACACGTCATTGTGTTCACAAATGATTTTCCTGCCTTGGGAACGTGCAGTCATGCCATGTTGCTGACTGTCAGTTGTTGCTCACCGATGCAGTTCGATGCCAAAGGGGGGCCTCGTCCAGGGAGCACGGGGAGGAGCGAGAGAAGGACATGAAAGGAGGAAAGAGGGGACATGAGGATGCAAATAAGGAGGGTTGTATGAGGCAGGGTGTAGGAAGGGGATGGAGACAGGCTTGGCGCGCCCGCGCCATATCTGAAATCCTAGCTCTCACACCCATCCCTCCCCATTGCGTGATGTTTTTGAAGGGGCCCTGGGACACACAAATCAATAGACACAAAGAACAGGATTCCCCATATTGAAGAATATGTTCCGGGTTTGTGTCTCCCTCCCCCTTCTCATATGTTCCCATACTTTCTGGGGGATCGACGATTACTTGTGTCTGTGTGTTTTTTCCCCTCCTGAGTGTTCTCTATCAGCCGACGCGTGTCATAGCGCACCTGGAGCTCACCAACGAATGCCATCCTGCCGTGCGCAATCGGAAAAGGGGAGCTGCGTACATTGGAGTCTGTGGCGGAGGAGCAAGAGGATGAGCAGGAGGCACAAGAGGATGAGCACGGGGGGGGACGCGGACGAACAGCAGCAGCAAGAGCTGGAGTGACAGAAGCAGGAGGAGCAGGAGGACCAGGGGAAGGCGGAGGAGGGGAGAGGAGGGGGGCGGCAACGATGATGAACAACTCGGATCCAACAAAGTGGCCCGAGGTGAGGCAAGCGTGCCATTCTGAACGACGGGTGGCAAGCCCCGATGTTAGAAAGAGGCCCGCACTGCAGCGGCAGCACCGTACCAAATTGGAAAACATTGACATGCAAACGTTTGAATTCCGATGCGTAACAGTTCGCGGAGCGGGCGGGACAACTTCCGCACAGAGTCACAGGAGAAAGGAGGGTAGTACTCAGTACTCATATTGAATAATTGCGTAGGAGGTGGGAGCAGCACCAGGAGACTGAATTGAAGTATCGCTCGCGTCGCAACCTGTCTTTGTAAAGGCACGGCCACCCCGACTCCAACCCGCCCAGCTGGGAGAACGACCAGGTGAGCCTTGCAACCTCGCCGGAGGAGAACTCCTGAAGCCTTCCTCGCAACGGGAGAGACTGACGATAGCACGGGAGATCTCGCAAAGGGTCCAGATAAACCCGATTCAAGGGGGTGGAGGAGGGTGAACAAATAGGAAGGGATGGTGAAGGAGGAGGCGTAAGCGGAGAGGGGAGCGGACGTGAACTGAAACGAGTCATGTGGGCGAGGGGGGAGGGGGGAGAGAACACAGGGAGGAAGGAGGAGGAAGAGGAGAGGAATGCAGGATAAATGAAGACAGCGCGATGGAGAAGAGAAGGGAAGAGGAGGGAAGAGGGGGGAAGAGGGGCGATACAATATAATGAGAAAGATAAGGGGGGGGGAAACTAATGAAGATAAACAGATGACATGACAGCATGGAGGACAACGACGGAAAGGAAGAGGAGGAGGAGAAGGTACAGCAGTGGCAGCGTAAAATAACAATTTGTAGGATGCCTATGGGGATGGCCAGGAGGACGAGGATGATAATAGTAGGGAGCATTGGCAAACATAGAATGATGCACTGGGGAGTAAGTGTAAGGGCAAGAGAGGAGAGGAATGATAGAATGATCAAGGGGAGTAGGAGTGGGCATCGGAGCTGGGGGCACGCGAATACGTAGGAGAAGCAACAGCAGACGGAAGAGGAGCACATCACGGCATGATATGAGAAATCAATGGAGGAGACAGACCAACATCCGCTACCGTGCCAGCAGTAAGTGGGCGTGCTAAAAGGATCGTCTGTTGCCTGGGAGGTGTTTGTTGGTGTTCCATAGCCGCCCCGTTCACTGCGCGCGGGGTTCTGATTTCGCCCCCCCCCCCCTGAAACGGTTCCTCGGCGGTCTGTTCGGCCTCCTGGCGGCCGAGATGGCCTCCAAGGCGGCTTCCAAGACAGCCAACCAAAAGAGCTCCAGCCGGCACAAGACGGCAAGGGGAGGCTCCCAGGACAGCCCACGACGGCCCAAGAGGCCCCCCAAGGCGGCTCCAAGGTCCTCGAGGAGAGCCCGAGAAGGCAGCAACAGTGTGTGTGTTCCTTAGCTGTTTGCAGGGTTGTTGGGGGTCCTCGCCTGTTTCGGTTCCCGAGCGCCCACGACGGCCCAGTGGGGCCTCAAAGATAGCTCCAAGATGGTCTATGCGACCCCCGACAGGGCCACCAGTCGGGCCAAGAGGGCTCCAAGATCGCCCGAGAGACTCCCAACAGGGCCCCAAGTCAATGCTAAAGTGCTCCAGAGAGGGCACAATGACGGCCCTGAGAGGCCCCCAAGACGGCCACCGCAGGTGTCAAACTGGCCAAGGGCCTCCCCAAGACTGCCCAAGAGGCCCCAAGAAGCCCCCAAGAGGCCCCAGGTGGCCCCCAAGAGGCTCCCAGGAAGCCCTCAGGAGGCTCCAAGGAGGCCACGCTGGAAGCCCCAAGGGGGCCCAAATAAACCTTCTCCTCCTCGTCCGCATGGTCTCCCTCCTCCTCCTCCGTCTGCTCCGTCTCCTCCTCCTCCTCCTCCTCTTCCTCTTCCCCCTCCTCCCCCTCCTCCTCCTCCTCCTCCTCCTCCTCCTCCTCCTCCTCCTCCTCCTCCTCCTCCCTACCGCGCGGACGAAGACGATGTCGAGATCACGACCCCCCCCCGTTCAGACCACTCGCTGAACTGCCGCGCGGACGAAGACGAGGTCGAGTTCATGACCCGTCCGTATCAGACCACTTGTCAGAATTGCGCTGTTCCTACTCTCAGCCTCCGTCCTGCTGCGGTGTTGCACAGGCACAGTGGCGGGGTTTGCCGCAGGCAGCTGGGCAAACCCAATGTACATCAACGGTGCAAAGAGGTTACATGGGACGCACATGGACATACTAGTACTATATGTCCTCCTTGGAGGCGCGCGTCCGACCCGAACATATAGTATACCCATCTTGTAGTATATCGTTTCCCGAGCGGTGTGGCCAGAATGCGCCCGTCACAACGCATATACTATAAGATTCCTCGGTGCGCGCGTCGCCCCTGGGAGGGCGACGCACATATAGTATAAGTATGTTGGGGTGTTGCCGATTACAGTACACCCTACCCCCCCGTCTCAAGTCCACCCCTCGCAACTCTCTACCAGCAATCTTCTGTACTGCGCCCAACGCCCCTTCTGAGGAAGGTACCCTCCACCACCACCACTGAGCCATGCATCCGGCAGGACGCGTGGGCGGCAGAATGTACGAATGTTTTCCACGAGCAGACCTTGTCGTAACGGCGCGTCCTTGGGGAATGCGGCCGAATTGTCGCAACCCCGATTCTCAGCCGAGGCCCCGCCACACATGTACCGTTTCAATAGCGTGCCGCATTCTCGAATGTGTTATGATCTTTCCGAGAGTACTGTACCGGCATCTGTCGCCATAGCGAGCGTAAAGGTGGCGAATTCGAACGTGACGACCCACCACCCGCCGTGCGCCCGCGGCACCGCCAGAGCGCTCGTGGGCACGCACGCCGTGGAGCAATGTGTGGACCTGGAGCCTGTGCGCACCCTAATAATATGCTCGCAAGCAACGCGCGTGATTGCGACCACTGGGTGAGGAGAGGAAGGCATGCCCTGACATAGCCACAGCAGCCTTGCGAACGCCAGCTTGCGCAACAGGATGCTACGCTGTGCCAAGGCCAGCCGCTGAGCGAGAACAGCAAAGCAACGTCATGCGAGCGCTGCAGGATGGCCGCGGAAGATAACAGATTACCCGTGACCACCTCAGAAGTTTGCGAATCCCGCCGCGATGCGCAGGCGACGCCCGTATGGCGAGGGAAGCAATGACCTGCCAGGACCGCACAGGCCTGCGGGCGCCCCATGCGTGCGCAGCAGAACGCACGTCGGACCCTGCCAGGGCCACAACAGTCTGCGAGAGGAGGCTGACAAAGATGGGGAGGTCGTGGGGAGGAGAAACAACACGAGGACGAGGAGGAGGAGGAGGAGGGCGAGGGGGACTCGAGGAGGACTCTAGGAAGACGAGGTTGAGGGCGAGGACGGCGATGACGACGACGAGGACCATGACAACGTCGAGGCAGCACGACGAGGACCACAAGGACGACGACGAGGACGACGAGGAGGACGAGGAGGACGACGTTGACGGGCAGAAGCAAGGCCAGGACGGGGATGACGACAAGGAGGATGAAAACGAGCAGGAGGAGCAGGAGGAGCAGGAGGGCGATAAGGCGGAAGAGGAGGATGATGATCACTTGGTCAAAGTTACTTGGAAAGACAAAAGGGACGGGGGCGAGGGGGACAACGGGAAGGAGAACGACGACGAAGAGAACGGCGGCGACAGCGCCTTCCCTGAAACTGTCGAATTCCCGACCCCCCAGATGGGTGAGAAGGAGCTGGGGGCGATCGGAGGCCACAATTTCAAAACACACGCGAACCCCCACACACACAAACACACACTTACACACATACTCAAATGTACACGCGCGCATACACAAACACACGCGCACACACAAGGACACAAACACACACATACCCCCACACAGACACTTTTTGGCGGTCGCGGCCTCGCGCGCAGAGTCAAGGCGGAGAAAGTCACCGAACAAGCAAGCGCGCACGCGCGGGGGGGCGCTCAAAACGTAATGTGCTCGTTCTGGATCGACCAGCCATCGGCGTACCCGGGCATGGGCAGCGAGGGTGCAGCAGATGGAGAAGGGCACAGCAAAAGCGCCTGGCAGAGGAGGCGTCGCACGAAGAGGAGACACACACACACACACACTTTTTGGCGGTCACGGCCTCGCGCGCGGCGACGAGGCGACGCAATCACGAACACAAGCACACACACACACACACACACACACGCACGTACACACACACACACACACACACGCACGCACGCACACACGTACACACGCATACTTCTCGGGCGCCCGCGGCGAGAGCGGAGGAGGCCACTCGCGCGATGGCCCAGCACGTCCCCAGCCAACGCGCTGGGCCAGGCGAGGCACCCAGGGGCGCCCTGGTGGACGGGTGGGACGGCGCGGGCCGTGGGCAGCGACGGGGAGCCCAAGGGGGTGCGTCCGGGGCGGGAGGGTTAGAGGAAAAAAAACTATGCACATACACCGACTCTGGCCAGGCCTATCCTGAGCCCAGGATCGGTGCATACGCCCTCCTACCTTGGCCAGGAAGGCATATGCACCGATCCTGGGTCAAGGATGGGCCTTGCCAGGAGCGGTGCATGTGCATAGTTCTCTTCGCCCGAAGGGTGGCGAGCAGCGCGGAGGCGACGACCAACAGCGTCGCGCGGTCGCCGAGAAGCGAGACGGCAGCCGAAATGGACGACCGAGGGCCCGGCTCCCGACGGGGCGTCTGCGGCTGCGGTGTTTGCGGTGCGGAGTCGTCCCAAACTGTGATCCCGCTGACGAAGCCAACGGCACACACACTCACACACACACACATGCCTATACGACAACCCTTCGGGTGATAAGGAGGTTGTGGGGGGGGAGAGGGGGGAACCAACATCTGACTCAATCGATCTCACTATCGATCTCACTCAACGGGACACCACGGGACACCACGGGACACCTGTCGATCTCACTATCGATCTCACTGTCGGTCTCACTCAACGGGACACCACGGGACACCACGGGCCAGCACGGGCCACCACGGGACACCTCGGGACACCTCTCGATCTCACTATCGGTCTCACGATCGATCTCACTCAACGGGACACCACGGGACACCACGGGATACCTCGGAACACCACATCGATCTCACTATCGATCTCACTCAACGGGACACCACGGGACACCGAGGGACACCACGGGACACCTGTCGATCTCAGTATCGATCTCAGTATCGATCTCACTATCGATCTCACTCAACGGGACACCACGGGATACCTCGGAACACCACATCGATCTCACTATCGATCTCACTCATCGGGACACCACAGGACACCGAGGGACACCTCGGTGCACCACATCGATCTCAGTATCGATCTCAGTATCGATCTCAGTATCGATCTCACTCAACGGGACACCACGGGACGCCACGAGACGCCTGTCGATCTCACTGTCGATCTCACTATCGGCCTCACTCAACGGGACACCACGGGACACCACAGGCCACCATGGGCCATCACGGACACCGCGGGACACCTCTCGATCTCATTATCGGTCTCACTATGGATCTCACGATCGATCTCACTCAACGGGACACCACGGGACACCACGGGGCACCGAGGGACACCTGTCGATCTCACTGTCGATCTCACTGTCGGTCTCACTCAACGGGACACCACGGGACACCACGGGACACGGCGGGACACCTGTCGATCTCACTATCGATCTCTCACTATCGATCTCACTCAACGGGACACCACGGGACACCTCGGGGCACCACATCGATCTCACTATCGGTCTCACTATCGATCTCACTCAACGGGACACCATAGGACACAACGGGACACCACGAGACACCTGTCGATCTCATTATCGATCTCACTATCGATCTCACTTTTGGGGACACCACGGGACACCACAGGGCACCACATCGATCTCAATATCGATACCAGGAACCCCAGGACACCCGGGACACCGCCCGGCCCAACCGGCCACCGGCGGACGGCAAAGGACGCCTGGGACACCACGGGACACCGCCCGGCCCAACCGGCCACCGGCGGACGGGCGCCTGGACTTTCGCTCCTACTTCGGCCTATATAGCTACAGGAAGATCACGCGCAGCTTCGCCTCGCCCGCGCGCACGACGCGTACACGAAACAGACACCGACTTCCCGGTGGGGGGTCTCCGTTCCACTGCGATCTCACCACCCCAACCTCCGATACACATACGCGTGCATACAAACACACACACACACACGCTAGCGTGCGCTCACACCACCCACACATACACGCACACACACACACACACGCACACGCACACGCACACGCACACACACACGCACACACACACACACACACGCACACGCACACACACACAAACTCACATACATACACAAACACACACCGCCACAACCACCACCACACACCGCCACAGCCGCCGCCACACACCGCCACCAGCCACCGCCACAAACCGCCCGCGTTGCTGACAACACTGCCCCGACCTGCGCGCCCCACCGCGGCCGATCCGTGCGCGGGCCGTCCTGCGGACTCGTGCCGCATGGCCTGGACCAGCTCGGGCAGCGGCCGCCCGACCTGCTGGGAGGCCACAGGCACGCCATTTTTTTTGTTTTTTGTTTTTTTTTTGGGGGGGACCCGTATCTGCGATGATGGTCCTGGGACTGACCAAGAATGAAGCCTCCTCTTCTCCAGGAAACTTTTGTTTGTTCGGCGGCCCGCAAGGAAAAGTCCAGAGGGCGTGTCAGAAGGCAATGGGGCGCAATGCTTCTCCAGGAATAACACAGCCTCGGCCAAATTCCTGCACCCTTCTGTGCCAGTGCGCGCGTGGGGGAGGAGCAGCACGCCTGTATCTCCGGTGAGCGCACGACGCGCTGGAACAGCTAAAAGCTGCCAGTCATAGATTGACTCGACGCGACCCCAATCAGGGGGGGGGTCTCTGCTGACTGCTGAAGGCTGGCTGCAAAGACAACATGTTTGGCAGCCCCAAAAGGAGCTAGCCACAAGCTTCTCGCAAGCGAAAGACAAACTGAATACAGCGACACGCATGGCAACATTAAGTTTTAAAGCAAACTGGGCACAAACAAGCAGCCAGCTGAGATCAGGCAAATTGCAAGCTGGTTGCAAGGAGCATCTATATTCCGTCAAGCTAACAACATCAGGGCGACAGCTCACCAACAAGCTTAGATGCAGCAGGTTCAACAACATGTGACAGCTAAGCGAATGTGTAAGTAAGATGCGAAGCAAGCGAAGAACAAACACATTCAGGCACCATGCATCTAAAACACAATGATGAGGACAACTGGACTTGACCAGCTCGAGGCCGACTTAGCCGTTAAACTGTGCGAGCGAAAGGCAATCTGAAGGTCTCTGGAATCAAGCAGAGTACCATCTGGATACAAGAAACCAAGAGCTCCCCAGGTTGGAAGCCAGAAAGCCCGCAGCGATCCGCCGCCGTGCCGTAAGCACTGCGTGACGTGTAATCAGGTCCACTCGATCTTTCGCAAGTGGGCCTAGGCCCCAGAATCTTGGGCGCTCCTGGGCGCTCCTGGGATCGTCGCGTGATATTCCCGGAGGCTACCAGATCTCTCAGCTGTGTCATTATCGAAGGATTCGGCTCCATCTCCCCCACGAACCCTCTAATGCCAGGATGGCCCCCGAGACCACGAAGAGTCCAAGAGACCCCCAAGAGGCCCGCAGAGGCGCCCGAGAGACCCCCAGGAGCCCAAGAGGCTCCACTAGGACTCCAAGAGGCTCCTAGGAGGCATCCCAAGAGGCACCAAGGGGCATTCAAGAGAACACTGGCGATCAACCCAGGACGTCGCAAGCACGACGGTGCTGGACGCGAGGGACGCACATTAACGCCCGCGTGGCCAGTCCTGCGCAGCACATTTGGAAGACTTCTAAAGCCAGCGCGGGAAGGACATGGAAAAGGGCCTCTCGGAGCTGAAACCGCCTCGTCTGCACCTCGCGCACCCGCAAAACTCCCGGTCGCCAGTCTGCTCCGACGTGGACCAAGCGGAACCCAGATTGACCCGCACCGGGACGCTCTCTAGCTCCCAGCGCCGCGAATATCGTCGAAGCCACTGATGTCCTGGACGAGCCTTCATATCCTGGAACCTTCATGATCCCTAGCGTCTGCCAGCTGCTCGGTCTGCTCGCTGACGTCGCATCCGGAGCGAAACAGTTCTGATGCGACCCGCGCAAAGACTGGCACAAATGAAGCTCCCCGAAGCAGTTAAGCGGAGACACCCAATCAGCACTTCGGCCGAAGGCGGCGCCATGCAAGTGATCAAACAACTGTCGTTCCTCGTTCCTTCTGCTCTCCCCTCCCCTGCCCTCCCGTCGGAAACGATCGAACTCTGTGACATGAAAGAAAGGTGACGACGTGGGTGAGGAAGAAAACAGAGAGAGAGAGGGAGAAAGAAGGAAGAGCAAGAGGAGGAGGCGGAGGAGAAGGAGGAACAGCAGCAGCAACACCAGCAACTGCAGCAGCAACAAGAAAACAACAACACACTCCTTTCATGTTGGCCACCCGACCAATGCCTGGAACTAAGATCGAACAGCGTCGTGGGCAAGGATGCTTCTAGGCAGGCGCACTGCCGCTACTGAGCAGGCGTGCCCCTCAGCCTTTCAGTGTGGAATTACCGCTTGTCCCACGACAGGTTCTGACATGGCTGGCGGGCGCGACATCTTCTGGCCAAGGTTGAGGAGAGGCGCCAGATGAGACTGCACAGACAAAAATGCAGAACATCACCCCTTGAATGGCCACCGCGGCAGAAGCGCCCAGACCACCCACGCACAGAACGCCCACTGCAGAAAAACAAATGCACTAAATCCGCCAACGTGCCGCTGGGCACGGAAATCGGCGTGTCCTCAGGTCCTTTCCGTAATTCCTTGAACCTCGATCCTCAAATCAGCAAACTATTTTTTGTTGGGCCCCGGACACCAAATTGCCAAATTTGCTTGGGTTTCGCGCGTGTCTCCTGCGGCCCCCGGCATCTCCCCGCATGGCTTCCTGGGGCCCAAGAGGGCCCAAAGACGGGCCAAAAAGTGTGAAGCTGGTGTTCCAGACTATTTTTGGTGTAGACGGCGATGGCGTAAGGTGGAGCAGAATGGTGATGGAGGAGAACAAGGTGCACTTGTATCCTACCACCACGTCCCATAAAAGTGCAGGCAGCGTCGCCGACACTGGCACATAGGGCGGGGCTGCCTTGAACCAAGACGGCAGCGGCACCAGGCAAACTGATCTCCCTTTTGGGACGAAATCCAGAAAGTTCAGGGGGAGGGGAACGAAGCCTGACCGCTGCGGCCCCTATGTCGGCTCAAGGCGGCCGCAAAAGGTCAGGTGGCCGTCTAACACGGCTACGTCAGTTGCAATGAAACGCGGGCCAGGAAACAACGAGAGTCCAAAGTACTGGGCGACGCTCCCATGAACCAATGCAGTTCGCACCTACACGTAGCAGGCAAAGGTAAGCTGAGCAACTGCAACTCATGCTGGGCCAGCCAAAGGCAGCCCAAAAAACTCTGAAAAGCGCCGACGTGGCTGATCCTACATCGGGCAAGTAGATCACTAGTCTCGCGCATCAACGAAACTGAAGTCAAGCAAGGAGATAACTCTTCATGATATGGCTGGCTGGAAAAGCGCGGGCACTCGCTGACTTCCTGGCCGTCGTGTGTCCACGACATCAAACACGAGAGGAGCGAAGGCGCGCGCTCGCTCTGGGTCGCGGCGATTCCACGACAGCTCTGAGTGCGGCCGAAAAGAAGCCCCCCCCCTGCAATTCGTGGCCGCGGCTGAACAATTCCTCAAACCAGAAAGGACCGGACCAGGCGATTGGACAGCAGCGGCCGCGCGCATTTGCGCTGAGAAACTTACCGCGGCATGGTGCGTACGTTTTAGCTTTGCGGGCGTAGCTCTGATAACTTGCAGCTGTGAACCCCGATCGATAGAGCCTTCAATATGACCATCCACTGTCGTATCGCGGGCGTCGCACCATTGCGCGTAATCTAAGATGCCGAGTTCCAGGATCTCCCCGATCCAACTACATGGGCCCGGCAATGAGTTTTCTGCTGGCGTTTTCAGGCACTTGCTGGCGGGGGGCCCGAACGCGGACTCGGCGCCCATCGCGGAGGATAATTCGATGAAGAGCCCATCTCGCCCAAGAAGTTGTCTGAGCCCAGCCGGGGACCAATTGTCCTTGAGGAGCGCGTGTAGCGTCGCGAAGGCAGGGTTGCATTCGTCCTCGCTGCCAGCAGCAGCAGCTAGCGCTGCAGCAGCGCAGCTCGATCGAATTTGGAGGCGATGGGGCTTGCATGGGCTGTCGATGCAGGTGGATGGCATCTCCCTTGCTGCTCTTGTTTCCACGACGCAGAAAGTTGCGCCCTCGCAATGCGTGGCATTTCGTTTCGTCCTCCCCATTTCCAATGAGCTTTCGGTCGTCCGAATCGCTATGGAGGTCAAGCATGCGCTCGGGCTTCATTGCCTGGTAAATGAGACTCGTAGTTTGCGAGTAAGGGCATTAAGTCGCCTGGCCTGAGATCGGTCGGTTGTTGAATGCGCTGGGGCGACGCAGTGCACACAATGATCCAGCATTTGGTCAGAGCTGACCAGGCGAGGGCACCCCGAAGACTGACGAACATCTCGCTGACATTTTGGCTTGCCGGCGCATCTGGCGACGCTCCGAAATGGCCAGGGTGAGCGATGGGACGTAACTGATTGACAGAGTCGCCATGGTCCAGCATCGTCGCCTTTCTCAGCTTCGGTGCACCTGACTGCGCAACTTGTGTACGTACGTTTGCTCAGTTTACATGTGCCAAACTCTTGTTCTCTCTTTGGCGCGCAGGCTGATGTCTCTCTTTGGCCCTCAGTCGCTCGCGTGGGTTTCAGGGGGAGCTCGTGGTGCGTCCTTGGTTCCAGTGCCTGGCTTCAGGCACTTGAGGCAGTGTCGAGCCTCGTCGTAATCTTGAATCGCTGGCGCTGGAAGTGCACGTAGAACCGAGGTGCCCTCGAGAGGTAGTGCGAAACACGCGGTGCACTCTGCATAGGTCAGGCCCCTGAGAAACGCCTTGTCCACGTCCAAGATCCAAACCTCATGGCAAACGATATCGCCTGCTAGGTGTCGCTGTGAAGTACGTGAGGCAGTCCCCGAAAATGACGCCACGGACAAAACCTCCTGGCCCATGAAGCCCCTCAGCACGAGTCGCAGTCGGATGATATTTTCGGACTGGCCGTTGTCATGACCTGAGAACTTCCAACGTATAAACAATGTAGCGCCATCGCGTTTCGGGCCTTCGTTAAAATGTCAGTCGGGAAGGATCTTTTCTCCAGGCATAGCTTAAGTTCGGCTAAGAAAGCGTTTGATACCTGCGTGAGGACACTGAAGATATCGCGTTTCGTCGAAAGGCCAGCCTTTCCCACAACCGCGGTCCATTGGATCTCCGCCGAGACATGCGCTCGCATGATTGCCTGGTCACCAGCGCGCATCGCCGCAACTGTGGTTCGTCCAGGATCTCCTTGGCCACGTCACTGGTGAAACATAGCTCGGCGTATATACTATGACTGTCGGCGTCGAGGTCGCCGTCGCTGTCCGTGAAGTCACCAACAGACACGTCCATGGTCATTGTGCGATCACCAGATCGTTGGTGAGAAAGCAGCACGTCGCGTTGGATGTGTTCGACGAGGTTGATGGTTCTGCCTGAATACCACAGCTATCATGTCAACGTGATACCAGGACGGCGTTGGCCGGCATGCAAAGGGAAGGGACAGTATAGAGAAACTGGTGTTGGTTGGGCAAAGTGTAAGCTTCAATGTTCTGATGGTCAGACTTGGCCAATTCTTCGTATTAGTCGTGCATCGACATCGTGTCCTCCTCCTGCTCGCTATCCCCTCCTTCGATAGTGCAGAGCCAGCCAGCACCTCTCTCGGAATCCATCGGCGTTTCAGGAAGGTTCGGGCTTCCAAGTTCGTCACCCTCCTCAGAGCTGTCGGCAAGGTCGGGGCATCTCGAGAGGTCCTCGTCGAAGGGATACGTATGTCTGGGCGGGATCAAGCTCTGTATCAGTCGAGCATGACTGCTTCGGGTGATGCCTGGCATGTTACTGGAAGTGTTAAATGACTTGTACATGCGAAAGCCTGGCTGGACATCACTGCCGTAAAATATAGTGCGATCAACACCCAGAACACGCGGGAAAATGCGAACGTTGCTGGCCAACCTGAGCACACTGACAGTATTAATCCTAAAATGAACCATTACGAGATACTGCAATGCCACATGCTGTGGAAGCACACTTACTTCTAGATGCTGAGCTGCACACTTTCCGAAAAGAAATGGGGGCATTCCCAGCTGGGATCGCAGAGATATGCGAGATGATGGTGCGCGTAACTTTGTTGTCCATGCCAAATCCCGACTCTATGAACACCTCGATGAATCATGTCAGTTTCGCATCAGGAAACTGGACCACTGTATTTCTGCTTACAGATTTGACCACAAGTTGTCTACGTTCCTAATTGGCTTCGCTCATCCTGCAGGGGCCATTCCAGCCTCCACGGTCATCCCTAGCTGTGGCAGCTCGGTGGTAGTCAATCATGCCCTCCACCCGAAATACTCGGCGACAATCATCCTTGGTCTTCGCATGGAGGGCTCTGCGTACCTTGACCACGGCCGTGGCTTGAGAAATCACCTCCAACGCGTTCTCCCGAGTGCGCTGTCCTCTTGTCTGACCAATCGCTTCGGGAATCTCACGGTCGGGCCCTTCGAAGTCGGGCAGCATAGCTGGTTGTCGACCTTCCGATGGCCCGAGACGGCCCAACAGCCCCTAAAGATCGCCCCAAGATCGCCCACGAGGCCTTCCAAGATGGCCCCAGAACGGCCCAAGAGGCCCCGAAGACGACCCCAAGAGGGCTCCAAGAGGACCAACAATCCTCGAAGACGCCCAAGATGGCCTCAAAAGATGCCCCTGGAGCACCCCAAGCTAGCCCCAAGTCGGCCCAGAGAGGCCCAGAGGCTCCCGCGATGCCCCATCCTCCTCTTCCTCCTCCTCTTGCTGATGTTCCCCGCCGTCCTCCCCCAAGTGTTCCCCGAAGGGTTTCTACAAAGGCTTGGGGAACACATGGCCCGATAGCTTGGCAGAGATCTTGCCACAACGCTCGGCCACATTGGCGATTCCAAAAGGCCGAGGGCGGCGGTGATTCGCCGTAGGCGGCTTCGATACGCTCAGATGCAAACTGCCACTCTGCTAGTCGCAAACAAGTCACGCGACCCCATCGAATTCCCGATGGCTGCGCGCGCTCGGCGAAACATGGCTTGACCAAGGCTCAGCGGATACTGTGGGACATCGTTTGAGAAGTTCGCAGCATACGCCTAAGGACTTCTGAGCCACAACTCTGTCCGAAAGACAGCCATCGGACGAACCAGTGGAGGTCCCGCCAGTTCACAGTGCCTTGAGCAATCGCCGCTATCCAATAGCGGAGGCGGGTTGACGCCGGCCTGGCTCGGGCCGCTGGTGGCCTTCAACCCTGAATGCCCGCGCAAACATGGCCGCCGCGCTGACGTGACGCGAACGTGCCGGAATACGAAGTGTTGCTTGGAGCCCCGACGGTGTCTACGAGTTCGCCATCCAACTCCCAGATGAAGACTTCCTCTGGCGGACGTGCGACAGGAACAGAGGAGACAGGGGACACGGATAGAAACAGAAACGGCACAAACCAGGACAAACTCAAGCCACGAAGTTCCAGGCAGAAAATCCGCGAACCTCTGGATGCTCGAAGACACAGGTCTACGGGTACGCATGTAGGAATACACTGAGAGACGGGATTATCATGACTCTGGTCAGTCGGACTTGGCTTCGCTGCGTTTCTTGGCATGCACATACGTTCCTCTTCCCCTCGTCTCAATTCCCAATCACCTCCATCTCATCAGCATGTACCTTCTGCGTTTCCCCCTCATCCCCCCCTCTTCCCTCCGCTATCTCCTCATCCTGCTCCCGCCCCCCCCTCCTCCTTCCTTCAACATGTTGCCTCCTCTGCGCTCTCCCCCGCCCTCCATGTCGACTGCACTACGACGTGAGCTGCTCAGGAATCTGCCACCGTGCCTCCGGGGAAGTTGAGGCGTGGTATATTGTGGTGGGAAGTCTGGCAGGGTCTTTGAGTCTTCCGAGAGGGCCCCCGCACTCTCGCAACGCAGTATCGCGTGCATCGCCCCCCCTCTCCCTGGGGCCCCCTGGTAGCCCCGACGCCCCCCTGGCAGCCCCGACGCCTCACTGGCGCTCTCCAAACATGCTACAGGCTAACACGACGGCTCTGGAAGGCCACCAAAGCCGCTAAGATGGCCCAGAATTGCCTCAACTTGCACCCAACAGCCACCTGAAGCTTCCAGCAGCCCCAAGAGACTCCCCAGATGGCACGAGAGGAGCCCAAGATGGCACCAAGATGGCAGCAAGACGGCCCGAGAGAGCCCCAAGACGACCCAAGGGTCTCACACAGGGCCAGAAGAAGGCCCGCAAGACCCCGAGACAGTCCAAATACGGCGAAGCTAGCCTCCGTGAGAGCTCCTCAAGGAATGCAGGCGAGATGTGTCGCATGTGATGGCCTTCCGGGCGGTGCTCGCAGGATTGCTCGAAGCGTCGCCACACTGAATGCTGCGCTGGCACAACGGTGGGCTCGCCACAGGCAGCGGAATGCGCAAGTAGAGCCTAGATGTCAACATTCTGGCGGGAGGCTAGCAACATAAACACACAGGCAGTCGTTCGCCACTCGACAAGGGGAGCCTCGCTCACGGATCCCGCTGCATTCTCATCGTCAACACTCTGTGCTTCGCACACTCTTCCACCATATTCAAGACATTACCGTGGACGCCGTTTACATCGACGATCCGGTCTCCAGCTCTCACGGCCAGGTCAGGGTGGTCGTCGTTCCACTCCTGGCAGAGGCCGCCCGTCACCTTCTTGACGAGCAGCACGCTACCGTCCAAGTGACCCACGTCCACGCCAAGCATCTTCCCGAGACTCCTGTCCATCGACACGTCGAACTCCAACCTGGTCGCCTCCCGTGGATCGGCTGCGCAGGGCACGTGATCCAAGTCGGCGCTGGTCAAACCACTGGCGACGGGGGGAACGTGACCGTGCAAGTTCTGTGCGTCGCGCTCGGCCTCGGAGGGAGGAGGAAGAGGCGGAAGGAGGACAAGGTGGAAAGCGACGGCGCAGGGGACGAGGGTGAGGCGAGGGGGAGGCGAGGGAAGAGCAGGCTGATGACGACGAGGAGGAAGGAGGGGGCAGAAGGGGAGGGGAGGAGGGATGAGGGAGGAAGGAGGAGAGGGAGGAGGACGAGGACCAGGAGGAGGACCAGGCGGAAGAGGAGGAGGGAGGAGCCTCGGTCGCTTCAGACTCCACTGCACGCGGCCCTTCCTGCTCCACGCCTGCGGCAGGTGCTCGGCGAACGCGGGCTATCCACATGCACCGATTCAGGCCAGGCACGTCCTGGACGCAGGATCGGTGCATAGCGTTTCCCGGCCAAGCCGGGTTGAGCGCGCCCATCATTCCTGGGCCGAGCATTTGCCAGCCTTCCAGTCCTGAGCCCAGAACGGGCCTCGCCTAAATCGGCGCATGCGGATCGGCCGCGCCCACCCGAGATTCTGCCGACTTGGCGCCGTCTCCGCGTTGTGTGCGGGATGGCGATGGTGGTGGCCACGTGTCCCCGTCCGCGTCCATCTGGGGGGGATGGCCCATCCTGTGGCTGACTGAACGACGAGGGGAGGGGAGAATGGATAGGATGGCGGGCGGATGGAGGGATGCGGAGGAGGATGGATGGAGGCTGAATGATGGAGGAGGCGGTGGAAAGAGGAGGAGGAGGAGGACGAGGAGGAGGAGGAGGAGGAGGAGGAGGAGGAGGAGGAGGAGGAGGAGGAGGAGGAGGAGGAGTGGAGAGGGGCGGTGGCAAAGGCGAGGAGAGCCCTCCCGGGGCAACAGCAAGCAAAAGCTACAGAAAGCGACAAGAACCCTGAGGACTGCTCCCAGGGCCGCCCTGACTTACGTCCCGAAGGGTCCTTTGCACGTCCTTGCTGCCCGTCCGGGCGGCGCCAGCACAAACATCGCACCCGTTCCCCATCGCGCGCGCGCGCGGAGCACGCGTGCAAATCGGCGGCGCGCAGAATAAGGGTTAGGGCGAAGGGGGTGGCCTCCCGAGAGGGCAAGGGGCCTCTTAGAGGGGATCGGCCCCTTCTTCGAAGCTCCGAAACAAACTTCTTGGGAGGCAGGAGGGGCTCCAAGTAGCGGAGGGTCTTCTTCTAGGGGGCAAACAAACCTCCCTCGCTTTTGACCACCCTCGCTTCCAAGAGATACCAGACGATGCCAAATTGCAGCCTGTACTGGTCAGGCCGCTTGACGAGGAGGCGCGTGGTATGGCTTGGTTATGCCTGGAAACGAAAGCGGGGTAGGTAATTCACGCTCTGATCTTCGAAGGTCGTCCCCCGGGGCCTGGAATCTCTCGACCCCTTCCCTGGGGCGGGCGCTTTCCGTCCCGGCCAGTCCCTCCACGGCCCCGGGGCCCGCCCCGACGCCCCCCCGGTGCCCGCCCCGACGCCGAGAGCCAGAACAGGCAGGGAAACGCATCAGTGAAGGGGAACTGGGACACACAAATAAATACACACAAATAAAAATATATCCCCATATTTTCCCGTATTTTCTGGGTTTTTGTCTCCCCCCCCCACTTCCCATATTTCCCTATATTTTCTGGGAATCGCCGATTAATTGTGTCTGTGTGTTTTTCCCCCTCCTGAATCAGACTCGACGCGTTCGAGCCCCTGGGGGCCTGGGCGGGAGGCCGCCCCGCTCCCGTCTGCGCACGGCCCGGCCAGCCGCGGGCGGCCGCAGGGGCGCGGGGGAGGCCAAGGCCTGCCGCTGAGCAGGCGCGCCCACGCCCGCGGCCCGAGCGCGGGTGCAGTCGGCGCGCGTCCGCCACCGGGTCTGCCAGTCGTTGCGGCCACCGCACGGGGGGCGACGGGCTGTCTGCGAGCGGGGGCGGGAAGTCCGCAGCGTCGTCTCGACGTGACCGAGCCTTGATGGCAACGCTCAGGGCGCGCGTCTGCTCCAAATGTGCCAGCCGTCGCGGCAGAGGCAGGGGTGACGGGTCGTCATTGAGGTTCTTTCTGCAACCTCCGGGGGGCTCGCGAGGCTTCCAAAGACTGCCGGTTCCAAGTCGGAAGCACATACCTGCCAATATTGTAAGGCCGCGACGGCTTATCGAATCCCACCAGCCCTCTGGGCGTCGGTGGTTTAGGGAGTTTCCTCTTCCACCCCTCCTTCTTCCCCTTCGGGGAAGGGTTTACCCCTCCCCCTACCCCCATACCCATGGACCTGGACGGGGGGTTCCGTGAGGTGTCGGAGCGTCCAGAACGGCCTCGGCGAGGAAGCCAACATCATTGGTTTTACTAGGGTTTGGGCCCCATTTTGGCCTCCTGGGGGGGGACCCAAATTAATGCTCCCCTCGTGTTTAATCGATCTCCTCCAAGAGGGCCCCAAGAAGCGCCCAGAGGGCCCCAAGAGGTCCCAAGATGGCCCCAAGATGGCCCCTAGAGGACCCCAAGAGGCCCCCAGGAGGCCCCCAAGAGACCCCCAAGAGGCCCCAAGAGACCCCCGAGAGGCACCCAAGATGCTCCAAGAGGCCTCGGCGACAATGCCAAATCATTGATTAGTCGAAGGTTTTTGACCACATGTTGGCCTCTTTCGGAGGGGGCACTGACTAAGATGACTCCAAGAGCGCCTGGGAGAGCCAAAATGAACCCCAAGATGGCTCCAGATATCCCAAGATGTCTCCTAATGGCTTCCTCTGTGTGCTGCCCACTTCCCTGATCGAGGCAATTCCTCTGGGCATCGTTTCTGGATGGGCGGGTGGGGATTCGCGAGGCGTCGACAATTCGTGTCTCTTCAACGTCAAGACGCGATCGAGTCTCAACGTCTTGCTGCTACTACTGCCCCCCCCCCCCCCAAACACGCAACATGAGCCTGGCGAACGACCCAAACATATGCAGTTGTGAATGCAGCAGCTGTCGGTATCGTCTTCGGCGGGGCCCCCTGCTGGGGCCACGGAACGCTGCACACCGGGCGGGGCAGGCGCATGCGGGCTGCGCCCGTGAGACCGTCGGCGGAGCTCCCCATGGGGCCACGGACCGCTGCATTGGGCAGGGGAGGCGCATGCGGGCTGCGCCGCTGGGGCCTTCGGTGGAGCTCCCTAGGAGGCCACGAGGCGCTGCGTTCGGAAGGGGACGGGCATGCGAGCTGCGCCCCTGGGACTGTCGGTGGAGCTGCCCACGTGACCACGAGGCGCTGTGCGGGGTGGGGGGACGCACGCGGGCTACGCTGCTGGGACCTTCGGTGGAGCTCCCTATGGGGCCACGAAGCGCTGTGCTGGGTGGGGGAGACGCATGTGGGGTGCGCCACTGGGACCTTCGATGGAGCTCCCTGTGGGGCCACGAAGCGCTGTACAGGGCGGGGGAAGCACATGTGGGATGGGCCACTGGGACTGTCGGTGGAGCTCCCTATGGAACTGCGAAGCGCTATGCTGGGTGGGGGGACGCATGCGACCTGCGCCACTGGGGCCTTCGGTGGAGCTCCCTATGGGGCCGCGAAGCGCTGTCCTGGGTGTGGGAGACGCATGCGGGCTGCGCCATTGGAACCTTCGATGGAGCTCCCTGTGGGGCCACGAAGCGCTGTACTGGATGTGGGAGACGCATGCGGGCTGCGCCATTGGGACCAGCTCCCTATATGGCCACGCAGCGCTGTACAGGGTGGCAGAGACACATGCGGTCTACGCCACTGGGACACTGGGACCTTTGGAGGAGCTCTCTATGGGGCCACGAAGCGCTGTGCTGGGTGCGGGAGACGCATGCGGGCTGCGCATTTGGGAACTTCGGTGGAGCTCCCCATGGGGCCACGAAGCGCTGTACTGGGTGGGGCAGACGCATGAGGACTGCGGAATTGGAACCCTCGGTGGAGCTTCCTATGGGGCCACGAAGCGGTGTACTGGGTGTGGGAGGCGCACGCGGGCCGCGCATTTGGGAACTTCGGTGGAGCTCCCTATGTGGTCACGAGACGCTGTAGTGGATGTGGGATGCGCATGCGGGCTGCGCCACTGGGACCTTCGGTGGAGCTTCCTTCGTATGGGGCCACGACACGCTGTACGGGGTGTGGGAGACGCATGCGGGCTGCGCCACTTTTACCGTCGGTGGAGCTCCCTATGAGGCTACGAAACGCTGTGCAGGGTGGGAGACGCATGCGGGCTGCGCCACTGGGACCTCCGGTGGAGCCGACTTTGGGGCAGCGAAACGCTGTACTGGGCGCGGGCTGCGCCACTGGGGCCTTCGATGGGGCTCCGCATGGGGCCACGAAGCGCTGTACTGGGTGTGGGAGACGCATGCGGGCTGCGCCACCGAGACCTTAGATGGAACTCCCTATGGGGCGACGAAGCGCTGTACTGAGCCACCGGTACCTTAAGTGAAGCTCCGTATGGGGTCACGAGGCGCTGTACTGGGACCGGCGGTGGAGTTCCCTATGTGGCCACGAAACGCTGTAATGGGTGTGGGGGGGGGGGGCGCATGTGAGCTGCGCCCTGGGACCTTCGGTGGAACTCCATATGGGGCCACGACGCGCTTTCCTGGGTGGGGGAGACGCAAATGGGCTGTGCCATTTGGACCTTCGGAAGAGCCCCCTATGAGGCCACGAGGCGCTGTACTGGGTGAGGCAGACGCATGCGGGCTGCGCCACTGGGGCCTTCGATGGGGCTCCTCATGGGGCCACGAAGCGCTGTACTGGGTGCGGGAGACGCATGCGGGCTGCGCCACTGGGACCTTAGATGGAACTCCCCATGGGGCGACGAAACGCTGTAATGGGTGTGGGAAACAGATGCGGCTGCGCCGCTGGGGCCTTTGGTGGAGCCTCGCGTGGGTCCACGAAGCGCTGTTCTGGGGCTGCGTGGGCGGGAGGAGGGAGGAGGGGGAGGGGGAGGAGGAGGGGGGGAGAAAAGCAAGAGGAGGAAGGAACGCGGGGCGCTGTCTCTTCAAAACGAGGACCCAACACCACAGGATGGGTGGGAGCACTGCAACCGAAGGCATGGAATTACTCCTCCTCCTCCTCCGCCTCCTCCTCCTCCGCCTCCTTGTCCTTTTCCTGGCCTTGCAATCCAAAACAAACGTGTGAAGACTTCATGTGTTAGCCTTGGAACTCTATAGGATCCGTGATTGCACGCATGCCCGCTTAGAAAAACGTGGCCGTACAAGCCCATGTGGAGGCGCGAGACAAGTTAACAGCAGTAGACGCAATGGTAATAATAGTGGCAATGGTAGTGGTAGTTGTAGTGGTAGTGGCACTGGGAATGGTAGTGGAACTAGTATTAGTAGTAATAATAATCGTAGTTATAGTTGTCGTCGTAGTATTAGCAAAAGTGATCGTGGTGGTAGTGGTGATAGTAGTAGTAGTAGTAGTAGTAGTAGTAGTAGTAGTAGTAGTAGTAGTAGTAGTAGTAGTAGAAGTAGAAGTACCAGTAGTAGTACTACTACTACTAGTAGAACTAATTGTAGTAGTAGCAGTAGTAGAAGAAGTAGACGTAGTAGTAGTAGTAGTAGTAGTAGGAATAGTAGTAGTAGTAGTAGTAGTAGCAGTAGTAGTAGTAGTACTAGTAGCCGTAATACTGCTAGTAGTAGTAATCGTAGACGATGAAGATGTAACCGTGAAAGTAGCAGTAGTCTAAGACATAGTAGTAATAGTCGTAGTCGTAGTAGGACCATCGGAGTAATCGTGGTAGTAGTAGTAGAGATAGTAACATTAATAGTAATAGTGGTAGAAGTAGTAGTCGGAAAAAAGAAGCAGCCGTAGTAATGGTAATGGAAGTAGTCGTAGTAATACGAGTAGTCGTAAAACTAGTAGTAGCAATCGTCGTCATAGTTGTGATACTAATAATCATAATATTAGAAGTAACAGCAGTAATAATCGTAGCAATCGTAATCTACGAGAAATAAAGAAAGTAACAATCGTCGTGGTAGGAGTAGTCGTAGTAGCCGTAATGGCCGCGAAAATGGCCGTAGTAGCAGTCGTAGGCGTCGTAGTAGTAGTCGTAGTCGTCGTCGTAGAAGTTGTAGTCGCAGTAACAATAAACATACTTGGGGGGAAAGAAGTAGCAGTGGTAGTAGTAGTAGTAGTAGTCGTGGTGGTAGTAGTAGTAGTAGTAGTAGTAGTAGTAGTAGTAGTCGTAGTAGTAGTAGTAGTAGTAGGTAGTAGTAGTAGTAGTAGTAGTAGTAGTAGTAGTAGTAGTAGTAGTAGTAGAAGTAGTAGTAGTAGTAGCAGTAGTAGTAGTAGTAGTAGTAGTAGTCGTAGTCGTCCCAGTAGTAGGGGTAGTAGTAGTAGGTGTAGTAGTAGTCGTAGTCGGAGTAGTAGTGGTAGTCGTACTAGCCGTAGTAATACGAATCGTCGAAAAAGTCGTAGTAGTAGTAGTAGTAGTAGTAGTAGTAGTAGTAGTAGCAGTAGCAGTAATAGTTACAGTAGTTGTAGTAGTAGTAGTAGTAATAGTAGTAGTAGTAGTAGTAGTAGTAGTAGTCGTAATCGTGGTGGTGGTGGCACTCGGCGTAATGGGCAGTGGTGGTGTTGCCGTATAGTCGTAGTCGTGGTAGCAGCAGAGGTCGCAACAGTGATAAGAATATGACTTGCAACGTCGCAGTTATAGCAGAATGTGTACCCGTACTAAATAGTAATAGTCATGGTAGTAGTAACCGTCGTCATAGAAGGCCTGCAGTAGTAGTAATAGAAATACGACTGGCACGAAACAAACCAAACATATAAGTAGTCGTGGTAATAATAATAGTAGGCCGGTGGCTGTATCAGTAGTAGTCGCAATCGCAAAAAATATGATAAGTCGTAGAAGCCCGTGTACTTGCAAACGTACTAATAGTGGTACTAGTGGTAGTGGTAGTCGTAGTAGTAGCAGTAGAAGTAGTACCAGTAATGGTAGCATTGGGATCCATACTAGTCGTGGTCGTGGCCGTAGTAGAGGTAGTAGTAGTAGTAGTAGTAGTAGTAGTAGTCGTAGTCGTGGTTGTAGTAGAAGTTGTAGTGGTAGTAGTAGTATTA